CCTAAACTTTTCTTGCCACTTCATCTCTGCCAAAAAATCATCTAAAAAGCATATCTTATAAACACACATACATACATACATACACATAAAATCAGATCGTATGTACATGCATACACACATGAAATCAGATGAACACACATACACGAAATCTGATGAACATACATACGAAATCAGATGAACACACATACATACACATAAAATCCAATGAACATACACACACACACACACATGAAATCAGATGAACACACACACACACGAAATCTGATGAACACACATGCATGAAATTAGATGAACACACACACAAACACAAAATCTGATGAACACACACCCTAACCAAACCAGAACCTATCGATGAACATATTTGAAGCAAATATGACAACGAAAAGAAGCTCGAACAGAAAGAAGCAGATATACTTCGCATTTTTCTCATGTCTTTGTCGTCATCCCCCTGTCTCAGTTCATCACTCTCAACCATCATCGAGATTTGAAAGCGACATATGTGGCGACGATGTTAGGGTTTCAGAAAACGAGAAAGCGGCCGTTAGCCACATCCTCTCCTTGTTTTGTTGCTGCTTTATGTTTCAGATCGGTGGTTCATCAAGCTAACCTTCTTTAGCTTTGTTTCAAATCGATGCTAGGTTTTCACTTCAGGTAGGGTTTTGTGTGTGGTTTTTATTTCAAATATACCCTTCTTCATCTTCGTTTCAGATTTGGAACCAAGAACATACCCACCTTCGAATTTTGCATCTGAGTTTTATTTCAGATCCATAATCAAGAACCAAGGTCACCCATTGTATGTTTATGTGTGTGTTGTGTTCTACACTCACTGAACAATGTTCATCAGAGGGAAATAGAAAGTTAGACACACACACAGAGAGACTTTGATCTTGAAAGATTTCCCATCTACTCCAATTTTAAAAGTCGATTTCATCTGGGTTTGCAACTTAAAGATCGTTCTTGAGTTCTTGAAGTTCGTTATTTAGTTCATGAAATTGAGTTTGAGTCTTGATTTGTTAAGAACATACAAAGGGGTTTAAAATTTGTTTATTCATCAGATTTTTTTGTCCATCTTCATGTTTGATCAAGAAGACCCAGAAAACCCAACAAATTTTGATCATCTTCATCATGTTTATGCTCGGGATCTGCATCCTCATCTTTTCATCTCAGAAACATGAGTTCAAGAACAAATAAGAAAGAGAGAGATGTATTTTATTTTTGTTTTATTTTTAATTGTTATAGTAAAAGAAAATTAAAAAAATAAAATAATAAAGGGCAAATCTATCATTATAAAAAAGTTTAAAACACTTTGGACCAAACTTGCAACGAAATCAAACTTTTGAACCATTCGTGCGAGTCCAAACCTTTTGGACCAAATTTGCAAGCTGTGACATAACACATGAACCATTCTTGCAATTTTGTCAACTTTCTCAAACATACAAACCATTAAATAATTTTGCAAAAAATATAGACCATTAAATAGTTATACTAGAATCATTTCTATAGTTTGGTTAAATTTTAGACAAAATTGTAAAAATGGTCCCTGTGGTATGCAAATTTTTGGGGTTTTAGTCCAAACAGTGACTTTTTTGGACTGGTGGTCCTTTTAAGGTAGTTTGCTTGTGATTTTGGTCCTTCGCTAAATTGAAAAGACTAAAATACCCTTTTGATATATTTTATATGTTTATTTCTATTTAATTTAAGGTTTTATTAATAAAAAATATGGGACCCACCTCTCTCTCTCTCTCTCCAAACACACACAACCCCTAAAATACCGTTGGATACTTGGATTCATGCTTTTCCTTCTCCACTGCTATGTCGTCGATCATTGGAACCAAAATGCTATTTCTTCACCTGCTTCCCCTTCTTTTTGTATTCGGTCTTCAAAACCTCACCACCACTAACATCCCTCCACAACCTCCACCGTTGCACCGTCCTGATGTGGGTGGGGAACTCATCAACTCTGTAACAGGAACAACAACGGAGCACCATCCTCCTACGTATTTCTCCTTTGACGTGGCTCATCCATCTATAAGAATAGGAGATGTTTCTGAAGTAGCTTCTTTTCCAATCTACACGCTGGAACCCGATAATAACTCCATTGATATTGAATCTGTACAGGATTGTGACTGGATGAACAAGAAATCAGATACAAAACCTACATCACATAAAAAGAAAAAACCTCTGTGAAAACCTAGAAAATGAAAACTCGGAATGATCGAGAAATCTGAAACCGATTCCAAACTCAACTTTTTAAACGGGATGATTTGGAGACAATCTACACACATATAATGGAAAACAACATGTTAAGAACTTAGGAAATCTAATTTCAATTGAAAAATTCCACCGGAGCAATTATGCCTTTGCTCTACGTACCGCCGACCACGGTGGCGTGTGGTAATTGTTCTTGGTCGTTTTGGCTTGATTTCGACAAAAAAACGGGAAGGATAACTTGTGGATCTCAAATTAAAGTAGATGGATCAATGAGGGATCTTGTTGGAGGTTGAAAACAGTCGTGAAATGGGGGAAACTTCCGGTGGGTTTTTCACGAGATTCACTTAGCGATTAGGGGTGTCAACGAGTTGTTTTCGATCGATAGTGGGTGCAGCTAGAAATGATGCTCTCCAGGGGTATTTAGGTTTGTCTGTTGTCGAGAAAGAAGGAAGAAGTAGGAGTGCAACGGAGGCCAACAACCTCCGGTTGCTGCTTTGTTTTTTAAGGGAGAGAGAGAGAGAGAGAGAGAGAGAGGTGGGACCTTTTTTATTTTTTTAATTGTTAAAATAAGTAAATAAATATTAAAATTTAAGAATAATGAAAGAAAAATGAAAAATAAATACCCCAAGGGTATTATAGTCATTTCAATTTTCGGAGGGACCATTTTCACATACAAACCACTCCAAAAGGACTACGAAACCAAAAAAGTTACTGTTTGGACTAAAACCCCAAAAATTTGCATACCACAGGGACCATTTTTGCAATTTTGTCTAAATTTTATAAAAAAGTCCCTATATTTTGGTTCTATTGATAAAAAAAATCACACAGACACACACACACACACATATATATATATATATATATATATATATATATATATATATATATATATATATATTGTAATTTAACCATTGAAACCGGTAAAAATTTGTAGAATAACCCTTGTAACCGGTTAGTACCAGTTTTAAGGGTTAAACTGCAAATAAAAATAAAAATAAAAATCATGAATGACTTTTTTCGTTATTAAGGTTAGAATTTAAGGGCTTTTCTACAAATTTTCTTTTTTTATATATACTAAATTTATTTGAAAAAATATGTTTATCAATGTCTTACATTTTGGGAAGGTATTAATAAAATAGGTGAACAATAGTGATGATGGTGGGTCGGTGATGAAGGATGTAGAAGGTGGGTTGGAGATGGTGCTAGTGGGGGCTACTTATGACGTTCGATTGTCAAAAGATCTTTGGTAAGTGGTAGTTTTATGGTAAAAGTTTTACACTCGAGACCTAAAAATTCAACAATAAAGTTGCATTTGATTTAAAAATGCAATTCTTGCAACAAATCAACAAGATTCTCTTAAGTTATATAAGATATAAATGATATATTTATAATTAATTAATTATAGAAATGATATTTATTAAAAAGAATCATAAAAATTCTAAAAATGACATAGATTATCATTATTGAGTTTTTTAATAAATAAATATATTTTTTTAAATAAATTTAATATATATAAAAAAAAAATCAAAACATTCATTAACCGGTTATAAAAGTTATTTTGCAAGTGTTTATTGGTTTTAATGGTTAAATAGAGCTAAAAACTACTATTAGACAATATTGTAAATTTGTAGTAAATTAGTTACATTTTTATAATTTAGAAAAAAAAATATATTTCTCCTTGGATTGATATATTTCTATATGAATCCCTAAAATTGTAAATTACATAACAATCTAATTTTGTTTAATCTGCTAGCGGGTAGCTCTTTAATTCTAGGTGTCAAAAGCTTAAAGCTGCGAGCAAAAGGGCTATGATCTGGTTTTGGGTATTTTTAAACTAGAAGGTGATACATTCATGCTCTCTCATTCTTTACGTTCACTCTTGGAAAAATTTCAACCCCTTTTCTCAACCCACTTTCGTTTCAACGAACTTCTTGATTCTTGTTCGTCCCTTTCACAATTGAAACAAGTTCACGCTCTCATCCTCACTAATGGATCCCACAAAAGTCTCCCCGTATCCACCAAACTCATCAACAAGGCGGTTCTTTTATCGCCAACAATGGAATATGCCCGCCAGATGTTCGACGCAATGCCCCACCGAGACGTCTTCCTCTGGAACACTTTGATTCGGAGTTACTCCCACCTGGGGCCTTGTAAAGAAGCTATTTTTACATACAGAAACATGCATCGGAGTGGATTATCACCCGATACCTACACTTTCACTTCCGTGGTGAGATCTTGTGCCATGGTATCTGCTTTACAGGAAGGTAAACAAGTGCATTGTAACGTGATTAAAATCGGGTTCGATGTAGATGTGTACATTCAGAGCTCCTTGGTGACAATGTACGCCCAAAATGGGGAACCTTTAGATTCAGAACAAGCTTTTGACGACATAGTTGTAAGAAATGTGGTGACTTGGACTTCAATGGTTGCAGCTAACGTACAAAATGGATATTTAATCAAGGGATTGAAGACTTTCATTGAAATGATCACTTCTGGAACTAAACCAAACGCTATAACTCTTGTGAGTGTTCTTCCTGCTTGTGCAAGTTTACAGTTTTTGAACATGGGAATGTTGGTTCATGGATTAGGAGTCAAACTCGGGGTTGACTCGTATATTTCTCTTACTAATTCTCTGATTGCATTATATGGTAAATGTGGTAATGTTAAGATAGCTAGAGCTTTATTTGATCAAATGGAAGCTCGAACACTGGTTTCATGGAATGCAATGATTGCTTCTTATGAACATAATAATTCCAATGAAGCAGCAATACAACTCTTCAATACAATGCAAGAAAAGAATATAAGTTTTGACAATATCACAATGGTGAGTGTTATTTCAGCATGTGCGGGTCTTGGATCATTGGATATGGGTAAACGGGTACATGAGTTAGTGAAAAGAAACGGTTTGGATTCCAATGTTCCAATTACAAATGCTCTCATAGACATGTACTCAAAATGTGGGAGTTTGGATTTAGCTTCAAATGTGTTTTACAGTTTATCTCATAGAAGTGTAGTCTCATGGACTTCAATTATTTCGGCTTATGCATCTCATGGATATGGGAAAGAAGCAATGTATTTGTTCTCAAAGATGAAAGAGGAAGGAATTAGACCTAATAGTGTTACATTCATGGCTATCTTAACAGCTTGCAGACATTCAGGACTTATAGAAGAAGGAAAAAAGCATTTCAAAAGCATGTCAGAGGACTATTTTATCATTCCTGGAATAGATCATTGTGTTTCCATGGTTGATCTTCTTGGGAAAAATGGGGAACTTGTCGAAGCTTATGAATTCATTCAGAATATGCCAATTCAGCCAGATGTAGATGTTTGGGTAGCTTTACTTAGTGCGTGTAGAATCCATGGGGATATAGAACTCGCTAATAGAATTTACCAAATTACCCCTCGAAATGTTGTTTGTGATGTCATTATGATTGATATGTACGCTGGAGCTGATATTTGGGGACATGTTGCAAGATTGAGAACATGTTTGGATGAGAAGAAGATGAAAAGAATATGTGGCCATACTTTTGTAGCTGGTTTTTGATACAATAATGGAGAATATATTTATATATATGTATACATTTTTTTATTCCATGTAACAAAGTAAGTATGTTTTATCTCCTGATAATTGAGGGGTAGCTAAATCAACAATCTTGAATCCTATTTTTTTATAAAGTTCTTGTGCAGCTATGTTCTTCCTGTGCACATGCACATACACTTGTTCTACACCTGTAAAGAAAAAAGAAAAAAAAAAAAAAACAGATCTTGGTCAACAAGTCAAACCTCTTTACAAAGTTTATGACTATGAAATCTGACCATCTGACATGGCAGTGTTAATGGCGAAATGTAACATGTTTCTTGCAATGCCTTGTCTGCGTGCTGACTTGGCGACACATAAGTTGGCTATATAACCGTATTGTTTTTTTGGTTCTTTTGTTTCTGTGTTGAAGAAGATAGTTGCTTTCACTTTTTCCTAAGTTTCAAGATTGTTGTTAGATTATCTACAGTTGGAATTCGTGTTTATGAATCAAAATGGTATTTTACCAAATTACCCCTGGAAAGGTCTCTCCATGTAAGAAGGGTCGGATGCTTACATCAAGGGTTCCAACTACACTTTTCAGTACAGTATGTCTCTCACTCCCATTTTCTTTCTTTACCTTTTAGGAAAAATAATTTAAATAAATAATAATAATAATATATGAAATAAAATAAGATTGGGTAATTATACCGTTACAATGCAGGCACTTTTTTGTCCATGTTTTGTTTCACATTGTCGTTTTAGCGCATTAAACTCCTATATAAATGTGAATGAAATATTGTTAATATTTATAATCGAGGGCAAAAGAGTAATTAAGATGTTACCTGCTCTGTAAATTTCCTTCTGTAGCTATCAGCAAATCTGTGTTATTGAAAAGATTTTAGCATAAGTTGAATTCATGTATTTTTTTTCTTTATATATATTTTTGTTATTGTTACCTATCATCTTTCCTATCTTCCAAGTGGGTTTCTGCCCTAAGCCATGCTGCTGCCCAATATTCTTCATCGAGAACTGCCCGACGTGCAACAAACTGCCCGAATTCATGTTTCTTGTCTTGAACAAATAGTTGATCATGGTGTTGCAACCGATCAAATTGAAGATTTGTAGTTTCTGATTTACAAATATAGTTTTCTTGAATCTTTAATGATAAATCTTGTTTTTTTATCCCCTGTGAAGATCCTGAGCTCATTGTCCTGTTTAAAGAATGTTATGAGTTTGATATCTCGATAGAAAGAAAGGAAAAAAGAAACTGACATTTTGATGATTGATGGGTTGGAATGGAATCGAGGATTCCGGAGTCCATAGTAGGGTGGAATTGTGAAACGGGGTTTGTGGATTCCGATTGTTGTCATTCCTTCAAGCCCCAGGTGAAGAAGAACATAAAAGTCTTCAACTTTATTGTTCTTGAGAAAAGATGAGACAAAGCCACAAGCATAAAACCATTAAAGAGAATTATGGTTTGTTGGTTAGGAAGATTAAAAAACATACAAAAAAGATACTAATTTGTTGCTTAACACAATCACCTACCTGCAAGGTGGGCCCTCTTGGAGTTTAAAAAAGAAAACTTGCTGTCATGGATTTATTTATGTAGATATTTCGTGTGCTATTGACCAATTCATTTGTATATAAAAAGTTTTTGTTTTTTTTTTTTTTTTTTTTGCTAGAGAGAAAATGAAGTGTATATTCTGCAACACAAGAATAAAAACAGACCCTGTAGCAGATTCTTGAAAGTGTTTATTTTGGATAATTACGAAATTGCCATCTGGGTTTGATGGTTATGGATGTTGAAAAACGAGAAACATTGTTATTGTGTGGTGTTGGGGGTATTTTTGACTTTTTGGTTGAGATTTGGTTGGCAATTGGCATTGATCGGATGTCATGAGGAAGGCTTTTTAGCCACCACTTTTCATCCGAGTATCCCATCCTTCTTAGGATATTATTTTTAGGGAAATTCACAAAACAAATGATACAAAAAATTCCCCAACTTTTCATTGAATTACAAAAATACCCCCAATAAGTACTTAATATTAAAACATGACAAATAAATAACGTTTTCAAAATGATTCGTTACATAACCAGTAACAACAACCATTTTGATTCGGTTTCACACAATCACAAACAAAACATTTTCAGGCTTCAAAATCCACTTTCATCTTCTCCAACTCTTTCCCTTTCATCCCTACACCACCAATGACCACCGATTCCTCCGCCACCCTTCTACTCCTGCTCCTCCTCATCGCCGCCTCCATTCCTTCATACTTTCTCACCCAACACCAATGCACACCACAGCTCAAACAGAAAACACCCACCTGCAACACAAACATCGCCACCAACACCCCACACTCCACCCTCACCAACGCCATTGCTTCTCTCGGGTCTCGTGGTGATTTCAGCATCGAAAGGCTGGATTTTTCATGTGTAAAAAGGGCTAAAATTGCAAGCATTTGAGCAGCCATGGAAGCTATGAGGAGGGTGACATGAGTCATGAAGCAAAAGTGAGAGAAGAAACCTATAAAAGACGAGAGGAGAGAGATTGAAGAAACCATGATAAGTGCCCAACCCATTGAAGTTGGTGATGATTTGAGGATGAATGTTGGTGCTAATGAAGCTGCAGAGAGGATGAAGAGAGTGAAGTTCAGGCATGCCAGAACAAGATATGGAAAAGATGAAGAAGAAGAAGAAGAAGCCATTTTCAAACAAGATCTTGTGTTTTTGTGGTTTCAAGATTTTGAATTTTATACATGAAGAGATTTAGCCGTTGTGGATAAAAGGGTCCCTTTCTCGTGTTGAACGTTCAGATTTCATGATTATATTTCTTCCTTTATGTCTGTAATACACACAGTATTTGGCGAAATGCTAAATTCAAATTTTGAAATCCTGAAAAGAGTGAATAATTGTTCATGTTGTAATCTTGGGATAACTACAAAAAAAAAAAAAAAAAAAAAAAAAAAAAAAAAAAAAAAAAGAAATACTAAAACGATATGATTTGTTTAACAAAATGAGAATCTTTTAAACAAAACAATCATAGATTTTGGCATAATGTCAATTGCGAATCACAAAATATTTTGCCATTTGGCTTTGAATAATCTGTCCTCATACAAGTAAATTACTACTTTACCATTTTGTTTTGAAATGATGCTAAATAACAAATAAATATTTATTTCAAAACTATTATAATAAAACCATAAATGTATCTACAATTACAAAGCTTTTCAATGAGAATTTTCTGGTAGTCTCAACAACCCAAAAATCTTTAACATATGTCCAGTATAATAAAGCTTTTCCATTAAGCTTATTTGTTGGTGTATTTAATAAACTAAAAGGAATAAACTATATCAAATATGAAGAGAAAAAATCACACACCAAGGATAGAACTGCACAATCAAGGTTGTCAAGATAGAGATCTTATATAGGATCGTTTTTTGATTTTCAATATCATGATCATAAAATTGAATCGGAATCAAAAAATTTTACAAAAAACAGTTTAAAAAAAATATTTTTTCATCCACTGACTAACAACAAATAGTTAAAAACCTGAAAAATACATCATATTTTATTCACTTAGTTAATCAAAGATACAATATATATATATATATATATATATATATATATATATATATATATATATATATATATATATATATATATATATATATATATATATATATATATTAAATAACAACATTCTTATTATCTTACGATTCTACCTCCAATCTCACCAAAAAACGATTCAAGTATGATCGAGATCAAAATACCTATCTGGTATCGTGGGACTATATAATTCTACAAATATGATCGCAATTTTAACAATTTTACACTGCACAAACTTATTGAAAAAAATTTACGGATGAAAAAGCTTTCGCAATAGGAGATTGACTTTTTGACCCAAAAAGATTTTAAAAAGCTCATACTATGGGTGTGTTTGACACAAAGCGTTTGAAAGCTTCCAGCTTTTGACAAAACGCTTTAATTTAAACAAAAAGTTTTGTTTGATAGTACGAACATTTATCTTTTAGTTTAAACAAAACGCTTCAAATTTAAAAGCTACTTCATGTAACGTTTAACAAAACACTACTAATCTTTTTAAATCAATTTCTAGAATTTCCCTTCAAAATATGTTTATATATTTATTTATTTTAAATGATTATCATTTTATGTAATTTTACATATTCAAAAGTTTCTCGCTACTTTTGTCACTCATATAAAAAAAATAAAAATTACAGCTTCCTACTACCAGCTACTCTCACCAAACACACCCTATGGATGCTCTAGTAGTTGTTTGTTTGATATTAATGTAATTATGAAAGAGTCTCAATATATAAAGTGGCCAACCTTTCACTTAACTCACTAAGATATATTGTTTGTATTAAGTAAGAAAAAAACAACCTTTTATATATATATATATGTATGTATAAAGTTTTGCATCTATTAAGTTCATTACATTAAGAAAAAGCATCACCTAAATGGTTATAAACTTTTAGATGTTGCTTTTTCTCCATTAAATTATGTATGGATATGTCAGAACATAAAGTTGTTTTATATACAGAATAAGCCATGTAAATGTGAGTAAAGGATCAATTTAACCTTGCATTCAATAAACCAAATTTCACAATATACTACCATGAGAGGAGTTAGAAGAAAGAAAAAGGACAGCTATGTAAATGAATACCATCTTACTAAATTAAGCCGAGTTTTTTGCTTAACCTGTTAAGTAAGTCATTAAGTCCAGATTAAGTCAAAAAAAAAAACAATAAGGTATAGCTGTTCAGATTAAATGCTCAACTCATTAAACCCGTTAAGTCAAAAAGAAATCCCTTAGCGACCTAAAATTCACAGATCTCACAATTTGACTTTTAACCCTTTTCTTTTCAAGTATCAAAACCTATACAAACATTGCTTGGAGTTGGCTTACTATTCTTCCATATCAGATTTTACAGTTTCATTGACATGTTTCTCCATTTCCAAATCTTGCATCTGCAAATCTTGAGAGTCAACTTCAATCATGGAACTGATTATCAAACATTTCAAGAAGATATAATTTATAGTTTATACCTCATCACCTGAAGATCTATGAGTTAAAATGGTCTCAATTCTGTCAAGTGAAGCTTCTAATCTACCAGAGTTCATGTTTATCAATGGTTCACCAGTCCCCACACCCCTGTCAAAATCCCACAAATTAACTTCACATCCATAATTCAAATCTCAAGAAAACAAGATCAAGTAGAAGGAATGTATTTAAATGGATACTCGCCCTGTGAATTCTGGAAGCACATAATCTGCCCTCCATCCAAATTTCAAATCAACACCAGGGAACAACCCTAGAGATGTCTTGTTCCTGATTCGAGATATACCATCTCCACCTAAACAAGTGGTAAGCTTCCATTTCCAACCAGTTGCATGCAACTGAAAGCTGTGTCCGATTCCTACCTGTGATTTATTGATTGATTGGAGTTTTTCAGAAGAAACTGTTTGGTGAGACTTAAGAGAGATGTGTGATTAAACCTGGAGATTTAGGAATTTGGTTAGAGGAATCTTCTTGGAAACAAGGCGTATGTCATGATGTAAAGGCTCGTATATGAACTTCCATCTTCGCTCGTTTGACAATGGCTTCACAACCAGCTTTGCTTGGCATTCGTTCATCGGGGCGTTGTAGAACTGTAACAGAATCACAGTTTTCGAATAAAAACTGGATATGATGTGAAATTTAAGGAAAACGGAAATTAACAAGCGTATGATGAAATACAAATACGATACCTCCAAATTAAGACCTAATCGAAATCCTTGTAGTTCTTCCCTGAACTTCAAAAACAACTCTGAAGGCATCAAATCTATGCTGTATAACTCATCCCATGATTTGGGTTCTTCCCCGTTTGAACCCGCATCCATCTTCAAAATCTAATTTACAATCAATCACCAAAAGTAAAAGCAACTATTCCTATTTCCCCAGTAAACTATTTGTATTGATAAAACATTAGCTCAAAAGGTAGAGTTTCATAACAAGTTCCCTAAATTAAATCAAATCAAATCAAAACCCAACGACGACTGTGGAATCCCAGGAGATTCAAAGTTGAAAGGATATATATATGTTTAAGTACCTGCTGATGACGAACAACTGTGTAGAATAGATGATGAAAACAACGAAGTTCGTAGTGAGGAACTGAGGATACGAAGCTTATCAAAAGATTTTGTTTGTCAATTGCGGAAATGGGCTTCTTTAAACTTTAAAAGCCATAAGCCCCAAAGGCCCAAACCTACATATATCCATTTGGATCCAAGCCCATTGATTAGCATTTTCAATTTTTTTATAGAATGTTACTTAACCATTTGGTTCTTTTTTTTCAAACATTGTATGTATAATGTATTTGTCAAAGTTAATATGAAAAAAAAAAAGTCCACGCTTTCCAAAAATATTGTTCTTTTGTAGATTGAGAGAGTTTACAATTGATCGCCATGTAGATGCCAAGGTGGACAAAATATGTGTGACGTAAGCAATTAGAATGTTAGTGATCAATGGTGTACAAAGGACATATATTTCATTATAACCCTAAAAGATGTGTTACAATTTTTGTTTTTTGTTTTTTTTGTTAAACTACATACTAAATCAAAATTATACATGTATAATGTATTCTAGGAGGGGGGGCTCCTTCCTTTTGGTGCTGATGTCCTTTTTTGTAATTCCATGTTTGACATCCTCTCAACCTCCAAAGCTCGTTCAAGCTATATATTTTTTTTATATAATATAATATATATAAACAAAATCATTTTTAATTTTCACACAAAAAATATTGTATTAAAAATAATAAAACAAAAATAAACTACCTTAGCTGCTCTGCTACTCCATTCTCCTAGTATGCCACGTAGCCTTTCATTCTCCTCCACATACTATACATACATCATTAACATTAATATCTTTACAAAAATTACTTATATATTTAAAATCAAGAAACTCACCTGATTATTGGTTATATGTACACGTTGGATCTCAGAGTCTCTCTCAGCTATCAAAGATCGTGCAAGTTTTAACTCAGATTGCATTTGATTCATCTACAAAAAAAAAAAATTATAAAAAATATTCTTTATCTTTTTCATATATAAATTTCATATCCCATAACACAAAAGTAAAAAAATAAAAATAAAAAATAAACAAAATATCAAGATTCACCTCGGATGAAAGTGTTCGTAGTTCCTGATCACGAGCTGCTAATAAATAAGCAAGATCAACCTGCAAATTACATTCAATGGGAATTTAACACAACAAGAAAAATAAATAATTTAATAAATAAATAAATGACAGATGGCAACTGGCAAATATTACCTGAGGTGTCACACCATCACTAGATCTTTCATATTTAAGTAAACATTCTTGTAATCTCAGAATCTACAAGTTATAATATATATATATATATATATATATATATATATATATATATATATAAATGACAACTTTTTAAATGCAAAAAACATTTTATATTTTTTATTTATATTTTATAGTTACCTCTTCACTCAAAAAATTAAGGTTCTCTTGCTGATATTGTAGCAAAGCCATTTGCTGATCAGAGAGTCTACCACCATCATAATAGCTGGTTATAAATAATATTATTAGTAATTAATTAATTATACAATTCATTATGTAAAAAGATAAATATGGAAAATATTTAACTCACACCTCAACCCTTCTAAGGAGCTTGATTGTTGTAGAGGAGAATATAAAGATTTCAAAACATCTGGTTGGGTGTCCAATGAATTATACTGGTGAACATTTCCTGTAATAATTTAACATTTAATCAATAATACCAAAAATAAATGTCATTTTTCATGTTAATAAACTAACCGATATAGATACTCATGAAAGAGCCAGCAAAGATAACTTCAGCCACCATGATAATCCTGAAATATATTATAACAAACTTAAGTAAGAAAGTCCCAATTCCCAAATTTTAAAATTAGGGTTTCATTTTTCAGATTTTAGTAATGAATTACCTGAGTAACATGGAAATTGGAAGGATACTTATATGGGGTTCCCAAACCATCACCAGTAGCATTGCACAAGTACCATATGACATAGTGGCAAATGGTAATCGAATAATATGCTTCAATTTTTGACTAAATATATAGTAACCCTACACAATGAAAATCAAAATCAATCTTATGATTATGTATCAAAAGAATGTATGTGATTGCAAGCTAGTTGTTACCTGTAATCTGATTTTCTTGACTTGATAAACCATGTATTGTTGGAATATGCCTGTAAACAAGATAGCTATCATCATACTTGATGTCGATAAAAAAATCAGCTTCAATAGAATTCAGTAAGAACCTGTGACAACTAAGAGAATAATGGTGGATGTGCAGAGCCACTGTGATAACAGCTTTTGCTTGGATCTGAAGATCCATGGAGCTGCTACAGCTAAAGCGGCATAACCTGACTATAAGAATCAAAGAAATTAGACCTTTTACCATTGATGGTGATGTGCTTTTATTGAAGAAAGAAGATACTATACTTGCCAAAAGTAAGCAGTAAAAAATGCTACCCATGATGCCTGTGCGTTTGCGTTGTCCAGATAAAGGAGCCTCGTTGGATATATCAAGGAATCTAAAGCGAACGAAGAACAAGTTAATGTCATTGTCAATCAATTAAGTTCAAACAAGCTCGTTAGGGTTGAAATTTGGGGAAAAATAAGTTTCGTATTTGATCAAATTATAGCTCTAATTTTATAGATCTTGGACTCCAGTTGACTAAACAATACTGTGTTTTGGAAGAAGCAATTCTATGGGTTGAAACTGGAACTGGTGAAGTTGAATTTTGATTGTAAGCTCTGGTTTTATACTCCCATAGACAGAAAAAATGAAATTACAGAGTAATTCATCTGATTTCAGATTGAACACAAATGATTAGTCGAATAAGCAATCAAACTGAAAACAAAGGAGAATAGTCAGAATACACAACTTACAGATTGTTGTCTTGGGGAGATGCAGAATTGGAGGCAGCATGTCGATCCGACGACATGATCGTGTAGGGTTTTCAGATTTATAGTGTTGAGAGTTAACACACCTTTCTATCAGATTACGGGAACACCTTTGTGCGATCGACTGTGTTGAAGAATAAATTGATGGCGACAGTGAAACAAATGGCTACTTCCTTTGATGTCAACAATCAAAGCATGAGGATAACCTAGTCTAAAAAGAAGTTGGCAGGGGCTTATTGTCGTAAAATATCAACGACTTTAGCAAATGTTTTGTTTCATTTTAGGCTGTTAGGTATGAATGTGGTTAGAACTTAAAAACACGGTTCGCCACCTCATCAACGACGGTTAAGGCTAGTTTGACAAAAATAGTTGTTAGTAGTAGGTAGCGTGTAGCAGGTAGTTGGTAGTGAAAACTGTAACTTTTATTTGTTATATGAATGTTTGACAAAATTATACTGAATTTTTTGAAATATATAAAATTACATAAAAGGACAATTGATTAAAAATATACAAATATATTTTTAAGGGTAATTATGAAAATTGATTTCAAAGCTCAGTAGCGTTTTGTTAAACGCTACATGAGGTAGTTTTTAGAATCAAAGCGTTTTGTTAAAACTAAAAGTTAAACGCTCGTACTGTCAAACGAAGTTTTTTGTTTAAACTAGAGCGTTTTATCAAAAGTTAAAAGCTAGAAGTTCTCAAACCCTTCCAAAAGCTCTGTGTCAAACATGCCCGTAGTGTTGGGTACGTGGTTCGAATTGAGTTCGGTGAGAATTAGCCGCTCTCTCTTCGAATGTCACTTTCTCTTCTTCATCTTTTCTTTTTGATACACCACTCCTGGTATGTGGCAAACATAGTGGTTAAGTGAGGTGGAGATGGCAAGTCTTTGTCATGGTAGAACCATGACATAATATCCTTCAGCCTTAAGGTGAAAGGGTGAAGGAAGTCGGCTAGGCATCACTTATTGCAATGTAAACGTGGCAAGGTCCACATGTTGAGATTTTGTCATTCATCGATATTTTACTGTTGTGTTTTTCTCCTTAGCAAAACGGAGCAATGAGGTGGGCAAAGAAAAGACTAACATGGAGCTTGGTATCCACAACATTGCTCCTACCAACCTTATATAACCCTTTTTCATATCACTATACTACTAAAATTATATAAAAACATTTTTTATATGATAACCATTTGATCAAATCCAACTTAAATCCTAGCCAAGGAAATTAAGGAAATTTATGTTTATGTAACCAAGTTCTAAAGTTTCGGGCTATCACACAACATTTATCGTCCCAACTTATGATCCTTATGAAAAACCCTCTAGATAGTCAGGATTTCAAGTGTTACCACTCCACTATCTCCATCAACATTACTTCCTCAATTCATCGTCTTGTGATATGTAAAGGCTAATGTCTTGTACTACATATAACATGATTATACAGTTAAAATATTTATAAACATATGTTATTATAAATAAGGGAAAATGACACATATAGCCCATGAATTTTTTAGGGTTAACCATTTTAGTCACTTAAGTTTTTTCCTGGCTTTATGAGGAAACCAAGTTATGGGCAACTTGTTTTTTTAGTCCCTTTTACTTTGTTTTAGCCGGTTTAGAGGATACATAGACAAAACTTGGGGCCCACCTCTCTTTCTTTCTCTCTCTCTCTCTCTCTCTTTATATATATATATATATATATATATATATATATATATATATATATCAAAAAGGACATATTGGAGACTATTAAGAACATCTACTAGTTAAATGGTGTCAAGTACAATCATCAGATGATGGAAAAAAAAAGAATAAGAAAATGAAGTCGAGTCATTAATGCATAATGAGAGGATCTGTTTCAAGCGAACAAGAATCCAACTTCTTCATCGCTTAAGATACCACGATTTCTTCAAGATTAGCTTCCATGTAGTTCTTGGGTTGATTCTTGTTTGATATTGGTAACACTGGATTAACATTTCTTAATGGTTTAGAAGATGAATATGTGCCTCATCAACGTCGTGAATGCTATTGCCATAAGTCCTAAAACCATATCGCAGAAATGTAAAACAATCATTGAAATATGTGCCTTAGTTGGTCGGTTTGCCCCAAGCTCGTTTCCAACTCTAGTTGACACACCAAGGGTCAATGCCGATGGGAAAACATAAACCAAGGATGTAGTTTGGATGAGAATCCCCATTGAAGCAACGGTTCCTTTAGGGTTTATGGGTAATCCACACATCATTATCATTAGTTCATACCACCACCATTTGTGACAAACGGAAACACATGTTGGAATTGCTAAAGCTAACAAAGAAGACCACCCACAAAGGCTGTCAGAATTTGGTGCCACCCATGAGTCCCTGTAATCACTGGATAAGTAAAACAAACATGATCCAAAGGAACAACAAGTTGAGATTTGTAAGAACCATTGCGATCGCCACCCCCGAAATCCCCATCTTGAAATACCCAAAGAGAATGAAGTTGAGTGGAACATGCAGAAGGACTGAAACAGCTGAACAATACGTTAATGATAAAATGATGTTCTGAGCTCGAAGATAAACACGAAGAGGGTGAAGAAGAGATAGTAAGAAAAGGTCTGGAATTGCGAAGATGATGAAAGTCTAAGTTGCAGATGAAATTGACAGAAGTAGAAGCACTGTTCTTTGCAGAGGAAATTGACAGAAGTAGAAGCACCGTTCTTTGTACTTAGAGAGAGAGAGAGATTCAAATGTTGTGGGACCTTTTAATTTTTTTAATTTATTAAAATATAAAAATAAGTGAGCTGGCCTAAAGGGTAAGCGGGTTACCCTTTCGTTTTCTTAAAAAATACATATTAGACTCGACAAAACCAAATTTGTCCCCTTAAAAGGTCATTTAAAAAGTTAAGTGACTAAAATAGTAAACTCTAGAAACTTCATATGACGTATGTATCATTTTCCCTTATAAATAATTATGCATTTGTTATTAACTTTAAAATAATAATATTTGTGTTAAAAGTATATAAATCATTGTAATTATTTTAAACTATATGATAAGTTATACATATAAGATCCCAACGGTTTAGATCCACAAGTTGTGAACAAACTTAAATGTAGTTTTCAACATGGTGTTGTTTTTAATTATTTATATGGTTAGTTAAATTATATTGATATTGTAACATCCAGATTTCCAGGTATCATATTTAAATTATTTATTTTGAGTTATGAGGAGGGACTCGTCGAGTAGGATCGCGATTTGCTGACTAGATTAATGAACGGACTCGACGAGCCGATGGGTGGACTCGACGAGTCTGCACTGTGGGTGGAAACCCTAAATCATCGGGCTTGTGTCCTGATGCGACCTTGGCTTGGCTCGATCGGTATTGTTCACTTGGATTCTCGGCTGCCTCTGCAAGATCACAAAGAAAGGAGGCCGTCAGCCGCTTTCTGGGAGGAGCTCCCGGAAGAACGCTCCGACGGTCAAGTTAGAGAGTGTTTAGGATCTTTGGGTGTGCGCTCTTAGAGAGTCCAAAGAGCTTACCTCATAGGTCTGAGAGCGTATCCTTTTATACCTAGTGCCCTTGCCTGGTCCGTACCAGACAAGATCGCTTTTTTGGGGAGACAAGATCAGGGGCGTTGATTGGAGGGTCATACGCCTTCAACCGTTAGGACGCTCTCATTGGCTCTGACGGTAATGTCCTGATTCTTCTGCTTGTCCCCCGACCGTATCTTTTGTCTTGGAGTCGGGAGCGTCCCTTGGCGGGCGCGAGCCTTCCGCCTGTGCGTTCCGCTCCGGGAGCGCCAGCAGGCTAGACGCTGAGCCTGGTTGGTGTACCCAACTCCTGGGCTAGACGCGATTCTGCCGTGCTGCCCTAGGCACGTCATCAAGTCCCCCAGTCCAGTAGTCGTAGGGTTGCAGCGCTAGTTACAACGTTCTGGACTTAGATAGCTTACGCGTGTTGGTTTTTCTTTACCTGTCTTTTCGTCTTTAATGGCGACGTGACTGCGCATGTTGACTGACAGTTACGTCATTCAGCCATTTAAATGTCCCTCCTCTTCATCATTTCTTTATAGGAGCATTTACACGATTTCTCTTTATCTTTTCCTCATTCTCTCTTCGTCTTCCTCTTTCTGGGTTTATCTTCTTCTTTCTTTCTTTCTTTCTCATGGAAAATCTTCCCGGTATCCTCCCTTCCGCCACTGAGTATCGTCAACTAGAGATCACATATGGTTTATCTTCCCTAGAAGGTGTAGAGTTTCCTTCACCCGGCTCCAGTATCTCATCCACTCCCTCTGGCAAGATTGGGGTTTATTTAAAAACCCTAGATGCTGGCATCTATTTTCCTCTAACGGATTTTCAAGAAGAGGTCTTCCAAAAAGACGATTGTAGTCTCCAAATGTTGACTCCCAATGTAGTCAACAAAGTGGTTGCGTTTGAAATGATCTCCAGAACTAACAGGTATCTTTCGGACTACTTCGTTTTCAAGTTTTTCTTCCGATTCCGCACCACTGGAAACAAATGCACCTTCTCAATCTGATGAGGGAGCATGCCCTGGTTCCCGACGGGAAAACCCCTAAAAATTGGCAACATAAATTGTTGTGGGTGAACCAAGAGTTGGTCGGAAGTGGTCAGTACCATACGAATGCTTTTGGCGATACCATCCCCAAACTCTTCCCTCATAACCAAGGTGTCGCTGACTACCTGAAGAGTGTGCAAGTATCCCCTAGAGATTATTCTGAGGCTCTGCTTTCTGCTGTAGGGTGAGCCCTTCTTGGAGGCGTCGTGGCAAAATGGCGGTGTTTTTCTCCATCATTGACGGTGAGTGTTGCACCCCTCTTTTTTCCTTCTTCCCTTTATTACTGCTATATGATTGATATTCCTTGTTCTGACATCCTTAGGTGTTGAATCTTCCCTGTCCATGGATGAGGTGTTACGGAAGCGTTATCGGAGCAAGTTGGAGTATCGTGAGGTGGATCTAGTTGATCGACTTCCTCCACATTACCGGATGGATCAGCTTGCCTTAACTGCTGCCCCTTCCGTTCCCCCTACAGGCTCATCAGCGTCGGAGGAGAATCCTTTACACGCTCGCCCCAACTCTGCTGTCATGCCCCTGGGTAGCAATCGCTCCTCCTCCGTGGAAGGTAGCGAAGACAACAAAAAAGGGGTTATCATCGATGTCCGACGGATGCAGGCGAAGAGAAAAGCTTTCTTAGCCATGGGTGAGCTGGTTACTGGCGCGCCTACTGCTACCAAGAGAATTCATACCAGGGGTAGTTTCTCTCGTCTGCTGAGTTCTATGACTTCCACACCG